TGGTGCCCAGCAACAGGACAAGAGGCAACGGGCAGAAACTGAAACACAGGCAGCTCCATCTGAACCTGAGGAGAAACTTCTTTCCTGTGAGGGTGACAGAGCACTGGCACAGGTTGCCCAGAGAGGTAGTGGAGTCTCTGTCGCTGGAGATATTCAAAACCCGTCTGGATGTGATCCTGAGCAATATGCTCTAGAGGACCCTGCTTGAACAGGGAGGTTGGACTAGATGATCTCCAGAGGTCCCTTCCAACCTAAACCATTCTGTGTGATTTATTTCCCTCAGATTTACTATTGATACACCCAAAGCCACATGACATAGCAAAGAGCCACAATCCATAGTTTTCTAATCACATTTTTGAAGTCTTTGTAAAACCTGTAAGCTCAATACATATTTGAACACTGCCTACCAAAACAGGGGACCTGATATCAGTGAGATAATGCAGAAAAATCAACATTTTAACACTCTCTCGCTAAAGCGGCTGAGTGAGGATGAAGCAGAGATCAGATAATTTGAATTTACATTATTCCCATAGACCTATAAAGTCCACTTAATTTAGTAGCAGTGCCTAGGTACTGAAAAAAATAAAGCCGTTTGTAAAGAACTAGTCTTCATCTCATACATCTGCCCTTGCCAGAGTCAGCAGCTCTGCACAACTGCCCCAGGGCAGAGCAAAGCTCTCGCTGAGCGCTCTGGGCTCACTGTCTCTATGGTGCCTGAACTAACAGCCTGTCACGGAGCACAGACAGCAGCAAGTTGGAGCCTTTCTGTACCTCTCCACCTTGTCACCCCCTTAATTACGTTTTGGGATGGGGCAGGATGTGACCCCCAAACAACCAGTGCATGAAGTATGCTTGTCTCTTCTCGCAAGACTGAACTTTGGCAGAAATCACCAAGGACAACGTATACATATGGAAATATTTTTAAACAATCATAATGTTACTGCTGAAAAAAACCCAAAGCAAAAAATAAAACACTGTAGGGAGGTGACTGCTCTACAAATAAGACACTGAGAACAAAAATACCGGTATCTATGAAAAAGTCAATATTCGTTTTGCTAGGCGTTTAACTGAGATGCTCCCAACATAAAAAAGGGCAAGTATGTTGATTTTTTCAGAGTTTGGCATGTCAATAAAAAATATGAATCCACTGAAAAAGAATCCACACTGTAACATTTTAAGCAAGCAATGCTTACCATAGTAGAATAAATAGGAAGTTCTTTAAATGGGTTAACAAGCAGCAGTATATCACCAATGTAGGTCTAGGAAAAAAAAAAGAGAAAAATAAAAGATATAATTGCTTTCTTAAGTACTAAATTCATTCTTTCAGGAGATAAATGGTTTTCTTCCAGAAAAGACTTTTGGCAAAAGCAACTTAAATATCGCTATCAATATATTAAATATAATTTGAGAATTTAGGGCCTTTTGAATTCATAACTTTAAATGGAGATCTAAATTTATAATTCTGATAGCATTAATTATTCTTTTTGTAATAAAAATGAGTCCTTCATAACACAAAATTATGCATAGAAGAACTGCACTGCATATATTATTGTTAGATTATCTGAAAGTTAATTTGTAATTCACCATTTGTTAAATTACAAAAATGTGACATCCCTACACATAAATAAGTTCCTCAATAAATTTGTTATGGGATAGATGACAGCAATGCTTACATTGCTTATGCCAAACTGATATATTAAAATGTGCTGCTTGTGGAATAAGACAGAGCAATTGATACATTTATATATATTTCTACGCTTGTGTATGTGTATATGCAGATACTCATATGCATACAGAAAAAACACACTGGCTATATTAAAAACAATATCAAATTACCCACTGACTGCAAAGCTGCCAAGGTTTTACTATTTCGTATTCAAACACTCATACTTGAAAGATGTACTTAAATACAACAGTATAGCTCACCCTTGTCACTATACTTGTCACCTCTCACACATCACTGCTGCTGTATCACAAATTTATTTAAATTTATTTTTTCTTAGAATGGAAAAATTCCACGCCTCTGTCCATGAAAAAGCTAGACAGTAAACTAGCATGTGAAAGGCCCAGTGATGCTGCCACCTTCAAAATGAAATATTTTCCTTTTCAAGGGTGGTGAATATTGATTGCCTTCTGTAATGAATTGACATTTTTTCTTCTGAAATATTTCCTACTTCTCTCCCAACTTGATTTCAAGTTTGGGTTTTCCAAAGAACTGAGTTTCATTAAGCTTCATGAAGCACAAAACAGGAGGTGTACAGTGCTAAGGAGGATTTCAGTTTGGAATTGAGTCCAAGAACTTTTCCTTCTAAGTCTGTGAACTAAATCCCTCAAAGATGCAAGGTTTTTCAGCATTAATGCTGACACTCCACTATAGCATAATGGCTGCTGTTATTATAGCAAAATATTAATCATCAATGTTTATAAATTCTCATTAAGCTTCTGTACTTAATAATAATGCCAGGGAGGGATATGAGAACCTCCTGGGGTAAAATGTTTATCATCTTTAGAGAAAAGAAAGATTTTCCCTGCCTTTTATTTCCCTCCTTATCAAGCATCTGTGGATCCTCCTGCATTCAGTTAAAGTGATCTGTGCTTGGCATCTTTGAAAATGAGATAAACAAAAGAAGTACTCATAATAAAATAGGATTTAATCCATGATTCTAACAACCAGAATTTTTATTACCATGAAATGCTGTAATAACCAGAATTGAAGCTCCCATACTTAATTCCAAACATTTTTACAGCAACTTGTTGCATGTGACATTCCAATTCCCTGTACTCCTTTAGTCTGAACAGTGCAATCAACTCATACATTTAAAACAGATTTTCATTTTTCATATTCACAGGCAGATTGGCTGTTCCATAAGCTAGAAAAGGGATTATGAACAGGGATGCCAAAACTTTCATAGGCAGATTTTTATGCATAAGTCATCTATACCTAACTAAACCTTCCTATCTTTAATACAGCAAAAATAGAACTTATTTTAGAGAAATCTCCTTATAAGTCTTTCATTTGGTATCTAAATGACTAACATTTAAATACAGAGTGAAAGATTTGTGCAGATGATAGGAAATGATAATAAGGAATCAAATCTCCCATAATGATTTATAATTTTTAGAAATATCTCCATTTATTTTCTATTTTCTAGTAATCATATGCTCATTTAAAACTAACATAATGCTAAAGATAGAGGTACTCTTTTGGTAGTGCAATAGGCAAGATTACATGTGCCCACCCCATTTTACCAATACACTATCTTTGAGAAATAAACATACACACAGGTTTATTCCATTCTTTATCTCTGATATTCCTAAATAAGCTTGAGCAGTTTTAGGGCTTATACACACATATGTCCTAATCCATTTAAATATTAGTCATAGGTACTGGCTAGGTTAGTGACCATTAGTTATGAAAGTAATTCTATTCTTCCTAGTCTCTCATTCGTTCTTTTGTGAAAGCTGACCGTTGATAGGTGAACAGCAACACTGCAGTGGCAGTTTCAAAGCAACTCACATATATCTGATTATTATTGAAACGCTTTTGGATCTCATAAAGCAGGCTGCTGTCTGTTAGCTCACTCAAAGAAGCCAGGTCATCATTCGGAGCTGGAGGCATTAGCTTGATCTGGAAAACATAAATTATACCGAGAAATAAAATAATTTCACAATCAATGTCCCTGTGTTGTAATGTTCTAACCTCAAGTACAAGAGTAGATCACTAGAATTTATAGAAATCTATGAAAAATGCACTAGAAAACTAAAAAGTTGTCACTCCTCCCAAAAAATTACGCATCATTAATCTTAAGCAAGAGAAGCACATCAAACACCATCATCAGTGTGAAGGTATATAACTGAATGAGTCTGATGGGCTTTTAAGAACACAGACCCTCCTTGAGCACCATTTGTCATCCCTGAATCCATAAAGACTCCCAGCTCAAATGCAATTCTCCTGCTCTCTTCATTAACTGTTTATGGCAGAAGAAATCAAAACCATAAAATTTAATGCACTTGTAAACTATTTATTGCCTAATATTGAACAAAGCTCTCCTGTTACTCTTCATCATACAGAATTTAAAATTCTATTATAATTTTTTTTTTTGCAGAATAAAAACACACTAATAAGAAGTGGGAATCATGTTGTCAAGGAGACCAGAAGAGATTCAGAAGCACCTACTGTAGCCAATACCGGTGAATAAAATGAGCAGAGTATTTTTAGCATTCTTCAGATTGAGAAGGAACAATATAAGCCCTGCAAGGCAAAGTAAATACTAAGGAAACAAAAAGAATTATCAAAAGACAAAACTGGACACAGAAGTAAAAAGAGTCAGCAATAAGGGAAATGTGATTAAAGACAAAATAAACAGTGATATCCAAAGCAGTGTGCTTATTAATTATGATCTACACTTAAAATTCAGGTTAATTCTTTTTTCATGTCAGCCTGAAGAAAAGCATTTTTGCATGTTAGTGGAATACCTAGAAAGAGCAAATTCTCATGTGACAGATAGTAGAGTGATTTGAGTTTACTGCAAATGTACTCTGTGGTGTCTGTTTTGAGGATAGATGACAGAGAAGAAATGTGTTTGTTCTGTTGTTTTGGTTAAGGTGAAGGCACGGGAGAAAGGCAGACACTGCCCCTTTCCAGAAAGCAGCGGCGCACCCTCAGCCTCCGGAAGCAGTGATGGAAGCAGCAAGCAGATGGGAGATTTTTGAGGGAAGCAGGAGGTTGCTGCTGGCAAAGAGCAGACCACATGACTATGGATAGCGATGTATAACACCGGCAATCTGATCCTTACCTACTGAATTCACATAGTTTTCATGGGTTCAAAGTCTAATTCAGAGAACATGATATTCTGAGTACTCTTCCTAAATTTGCTGCACTGTGTGATACTGCTGAATAATTTCATCTTCCATTTCAAGGACATAAGACTAACATCATCACTTTGGCTCCTTGTTCCAAGTTTCTTGAAACATATATACAAACACATTCCCATGCCATGTTAGGCAGCCATGAGCAAACAACCAGGGAGTTTGTAGTCATAAAAAAGCAGGATGAATCAGATATGATTTTATATCTTCTCTAAACCACAAAGCTGTGGTCCTATCAATATTTTGCTTCTAAAAATAGCAGTATTTAATATCAGTATCAACAGATAGACATAAAACAGATGGCAGTCTTCTATTTTGGCAAGAAAAAACAAACAACCCACACCAAACCTCACAACTACAAAACCACTAGCCTTAGTGATATAAATGGTATGGTACAATTGAAGCAACAAACCTTGACATCCTCTCTAGTCTACAGAGAGAGAAATACAAATACAGTTTGTAGAATATCAACACTATGCTTGGTTTTACACTAAATGTTAGGTTCAAGATATTTGCAAAAATGACAGCTCTCAAATCAGCACAAAAAACCCCAACAGACGGCTCTTTTTAACAGCAGATCTGGTAGCAAATGCTTTTCTGTTTTCCTTTTTTTGTCTGCTTCTGTACTTACTACATGCTTGACTCATGGCATGCCACTATGAACAGTTTTTTCTTAGCATCCAGGCTTTCTTATGAGCTTAATTATCCTAATATCCTAGTATCCCCATTTGCTCACAGTCCAAACAAATTGTCAGTTATTATACCCGGCTTTCATTTGCACAACTCAAACTACACTTGTCTTCATTTAAGTCCACCACTGAATAATGAGAAACCAGCTTAATCATTCCAGAGAAACTGCCAAATAGAGCAAAAATAAGTTTAAGAAATATAGGATAGGAAGCGTGAAGCCACAACTCCTCACAGAGGAAAGGTATACAGAGGAGAGGTTGCTAGCTCCCAGATCCTGCAGAGTCCCAGAGCCCTTGCAATCTCTTTTTGCTACAAAGGGCACACTTCTACTCTTTTGTCCACTTCAAGCACTATAGCTACTATTGCATTTTTGTTCCTTGTAAGTAGCCATATCCTGGTAATTTACCCAGTAATACTGGGGGCCTCAAAAAGCTACCACTTTCAAAACGGAACAGCGACTGGAAAAATTTGCTCTAGATTTTAACCATTTCCCTACTAGTCCTCTAAAGACAAATAGATTCCGAAGAAAATAATGTTTAAGGTAAGTATATGGGGAAAGAGACAAAGTCCTCACAGAAGGCTGTCTCCTTTTTTTTAGCAGCTCTATCAACACGCAAGAAATGTTGA